ACAGGATTTTTTTACAGTGACTGTTACTAACATCATACAGTATTAAACACGAATAAACATTGCCGAAACTGCAGAGTATTATCATTAATGAAAAAGTATTATCAGCTGAATATCCAATTGCTGATTGATCTAAGTTAAAAGTTAATAAAAAGTTAAATAAAAAATTCATGCCGGAATTCAAGTCGGAATTTTTTATTTAGTTCAGAAATTATTTCATATTTATTGGTGTATATCACTTCTCAGATTGGTTGTATACATGCAAGCATATTTATAATTGCTTTATGACACTACTTAGTTTCATAAAATAATATTAAACATTTATGGAGATGTTGTTTAAAACACCAATTTAAACACGGATAATTAAAAAAGTCTCCAGCTCTAAGCTTTCTTAAACAAATTCATATTTTAAAATTTTTGATCACAAATTAGTTCTAGAACAGATATTACTGAAAAGGATTATAAAGATTTATTTTTACATAGGTAAATTAAATAAAATTTTAAATTCGTTTCCATAAGATATTATGCATAAAAATACGATTCCAAATGCTCTTATGATATAAAATTCACAATCTAAACAATAAATCATCTCCTAACTTGCTTAAAATCTTATCTGTGATCAAATAAAAAATGAAATTATTGTTAAAACACAGTAGAGCAGCTTCAATTTTAAATTGAGTGTAACTAAAAAAAAACTGTTTGAATAAATATTTCCATGATTTAAATTTTCATTTTTATATGCCACAAAATAGTTAGATATCTAGCGCTAAAAACTACAAAAAAAAAATTCGGTAAACAACACACCGAAATCACGGAACACCAATCTAGAAAAATCGAATTTAGGAATGAATCTGCATACTCTTTAATTTTAATTTGGTTTACTACTGATTAACTTCAACTGTTGGTTTATAGAGTGAACTAATAGCTTTAATTTTAAAGATATGTTCAGAAAATTATCAGTGATATATTCTTTTTCTTTCACTGAAATTTCGATGCATTGATCGGATATATTTTGTATTTTTAACGAGAATCTCTGAAAATTATTTTACTATAATTTATATGCAATTTAAAGTTAATTTTATTTGATTTATAAGTAATTCGTTTTCACTAATTTAGTTAATATTAAATAAACTATTTCACATCTAATTTTTTTTTCAAAAAAATCCTTCTGCAAAATCCACTATAATTTAAAAAGTTACGAATGGGGTATTTAAATAAAAAAAAGTGTTTAAAAAATTGTTACGTTAGAGATTTTATGTTTATGGAATGCAGAAATATGGAATGTTAAAAACATATAAAACACGAATTTTTTTAAAATTCAAACCAACTAAACAATATATTTTCAAATGTTTATTATACTTTTATATTTAATAAAGCTTTTTAACTTGCATTTCGTAAAATATTTTATACCAGATAGAGAAACGAGAAATAAATACTAACCTCTTAAATCTATAAAAATAACTTCGCAATTGAAGTGATACTTAGTTTGATTAGTTATTCGGGAATCTGTCTGGGTAAGAAGTTAAATTTAACTCGAAAAGAACTAAAAGAGTTTTTTTAAGTACTGTAATCTCATCCTGTAAACACATTCCTTAAATGATTTCGCGTTTAAACATTGATAGCATCTGTCACTTTAGATGAGTGTTTTTAATCAACCAAAGAACCCTTGAAATCCCTCAAACGGTTGAATCAACTTTCACCCGTGACTTGCCTACACTGTCTTTTTAGTTGCTATGTTTTGTTACGGAATATTTCGCCTTAAAACTCTTTGATATTAAGTATCAAAATAGGGCTTACTCGTAAATATCGTTATAAAATTTTTTTTAAAAAAAGGGATCCCTTTCCCTCTTTAATATCAATGTGAAAACCACCTGCCCTTAATAATAAAGTGATCCATTGCTAAAAAATTTTCATTTTGTTCGAATTTTTATATTAAACTCTCCGGTTTTAAATAGACATCATCGATTAAGAATAAAAGAATTTTTATTTTGCTGGAATTTAATTCTAATTTTTATTTTAAAATTTTGAAACGATGATATAGTTATCATTATCAATGACGAATGTACGCATTTTTATTAAGTTGAACTTTTATTCTAATTTTTACATTTAGCTCTTTAATTTTGTATCGATGATATACACCGAAGAGCCATTACATTATGACCATCCTGCTAATAACATGTAGAACGGTAGAACGACCCTTCGTGGCATTGATTTCACAAGGTGCTGATATGTAGTCTGAGGTATCTGGTATCAAGCGCTCACCAACTGGTCCTGCAATTCCCTCACATAGCGAGGGGGTAACGTGGCAGCACGAATTTGGTTTTCCAAGTAGGACCACAAATGCTCTATTGGATTAAGGTAAGGTGAATTTGGAGGCCAAGAGACTTGAAAGTCACTGGAATGTTCCTCGACGATTCGACCCTCATGACATGGTGCATTATCCTGTTGGTAAACACCATCCCCCGCAGGAAAAACTGTTGCCATGAATGGGTGAACCTGGTCTGCAACTATGTTCAAGTAGCTTACAGGACGTCAGGGATTGTTCTGTGAGGATTATGGGTCCTAATGTGCCTCATGAAAACATTGTTCCTGGGCGAGAAACCATGAAAACCTGGGCGAGCCCATTGTTATAGATGGAGGGTGGTCATAATGTAATGACTCTTCGGTGTAGTTATCAGAGATCAATAAACATATTTTAGTTTTATTTTTTCTTTATTTTTCAATCTAAGTCTGTTTTGTATACTAGTATCTAGAGTCCCTATTTTCGTTTAGGTGCAGTATTCTGAAATGATCACTCTTAATTTTTAGAATTTTCATAAAAAGTAATTTAAAAAAAGTTGGGAAATTAGGGGTCCAAATTTTTTTTTATCTCAGCGAGAAAAAAAGTACGATTTAAATTTGCCGTATTATTCCAAAGGAAGGTAAGATAAAAAAAATTTTTTTTTTTAGATACCAATACCAATTTGTAAAACTTGCAGGTTCTTGCTTTTCAACTCCCTTCTTTCTTTCGGGAATCAAACAGGTTTTGATGTTCTCAATTCCACTTTCCAGATGAAGTTTAATATAAAATATAAATTTGTGTCTCGAAAATTAACACTTTTCTTACTTAAGGATTCTAAAATTATCCATTAAGAATGGTCTTTACGTAACAAGCTGAACATTTATAACACGAAAAACTGTTTTTCTATTTGCTACTTTTTTTGTTGTGTTTTTCATTTGCAATAAACATATTTTTTTGAGAAATCATTTTTCAGAGGTTGCTACGCAACCTATAAAAAAGACTTCCTTCCTGCCTCAGTAACGTTTTCATTTTCGTTTATACAAGATAATTGTGGGAAATCATGCCTCAAGAAAATTTTTCAACTTCAGAAAAAGCAAATTTAAGAAAAGGTTATTGTTATGATACTCTTATAGCAAAACCATAATAGTGTTAAATCAGTGTAAATAAATAAAGAGCAATCTTAAATAGCATTTTTTTAAAAAGAAAGCTTTAATAATCTAAGCATGGTAAAGACAAATAAAGGAGACCTTTTTTAAAGAAATATAAAGCAGGAAAAACCTTCCAAGAAACTTGGATGAAGTAACTACTTTTATTATCAAGTTATTCGAGAGACTAGAATAATAAGTGTTGTACTCAACACTTGCAAGTTTTGTTTTTAACGTTTCCTTAAGGGGGGGGAAACCACGTGGTTCTAAGAAACCGTAAGTAAACGGGCTGGAACAGCGATTAAGAAGTAGTCATTACGAAAGATTATTCAAGGTTAATTTGGAAAGAATTACGTAAAAGGGCAAAAATAAAGTCATTGAGTTAATAAGGTTTAGGTGCAGTATCCATACAGCTGTTAACTCTGAAACTAATTAACAAATTGAATCACCCTGATTTATTTTTATAAATTTTGGATATTTTGTAAATGGGTCAGCAAGGTATGGAATTAATATTTAACACATTGTCTTGACTTTTTTTTAATTAAAAAACTTCAGACAGAGCAGTTGTAAGGGTGGAGCAAATGGGGGCTTTTGTACAACGCTCCGCATTTCTGGTGAGTATGGGGGAAACCTGGTTACATTTTGACAAAAAAAATTTTATAACACCTCAAAAAATTTGATTTTTTAAAAATTACTTTTAGCATGGAAAATATGATAAATGTGTGTTCCACTTAAGGCAAATATATTTAATATCCTAAACATGTTATTCAAAGGTGTTTATATTTCTAAAGATCCCGCATAAAAAAAATATTCATAGAAATCAAAATGATCGCATTTTTTTTAATTTTATAACCGTCGTTGAACAGCCGACCCAATTTCATGGGTTTACGACTACTTACGTTCAACTCCGTAGCCTTGTAATTTTGAACCAATCCAGAAGACAAGGAAACTCCTGGATCAGTACCCCCAGAGGTATTGATTTGTTGTGGGAACATGGAGGACTTTGAGACTCGACAGATTTAACGTGCATCAGTCACCATTTACTACACGGGGAGTCTTCGGCCGACGAGGATCGAACCCACTACCTCTTGGATATGGGCCCAGCGCCCTACCAACCAGGCTATCCCGGCCAAAAAAAAAAAGTGATCGCATTGGAAAATAAAATGTTACAAAATTTTTAATGCATTACATAAGCAGAACCATTGAACAAAAAAATTCTCTATTCTTTTTTTTAACGCCTAATAAATCACTCATTAAACTAAATATATAGTATATGATACAAAATAAAACAAAATATTATTTTTTAGAAAAAATTTAATTGTTCATAAGAATGAAGTTTAAAAAAAATTCGTAAATAAATAATATAATTTATTTTAATAATTTAGGCAAAATTCTAGCAGTAATGGTCCAGCAAAATATTTAGACCAGATCCCCTGAAAGTCTAGCTACGCTCTCCTGAAAAGCTAGACCACTCGCAGAAATTATATACAATACAAAGCAAAAGTATAGAATAGTTCTTATATTTCATACTTTGTCCTTAACCTAACGAGAATTTAATTATTTTGTTTTATTTTCAGCGTTGAACAGCCAATACGTGTTAGACATGAGGTTGTATCAGTACCAACTCCATAGCCTTGGAATTTGGAAATCTGAACAGAAGATAAGGGAGCTCGAGATCAAGCATTGTTACAAAATCGTCTTTATAAAGAACTTTATGGGAGGGGGGGGATTAAACCGTATTTGATTTTCATGGAGCCCATGGTTAGCCCCTCCGCAAGAGACTCTAATCCATGATCTGCCATCTATTTTTTTCTTCTTTTTTTTAATGATTTTTTCAACAGCCCTGTTAGTTTTGGGACATAGAGTATGGCCGTTTTAGTAAAGCTGTGTCTCCTAGTAATTTCATTCTAAACTATCTGGTCCAAACAGGGGTTTATCAATCTCCCTTGTCAACAACGTGCATTATTACAAAAAATATTCATTTTATCTAGAATTATTTGTAAGCAAATTTTATTTTAAAAAAAATTTCTGCGAAATGGTTCTCGCTGGAGAAATAAATTATGGAAATTTTCCGGCATCACTCCTGTGTTAATTAAACCAAATCTTAATTTTATGTATTCATCTTTGCTTGAAATTTTAAAAGTAAGCAGTTAAAAAGGCATCAGTGCACAACTTTTTTTTAGTTTCTATAAATTATCCAAAATTGAAATAAGGACTCGAGTTTTTATTCTGGGGTTCAATATAAATGTAGTTATTATTTTAATGTAAACACTTTTGAAGAGCAATAAAAAAATTTTTTATAATGCAATTTTTTTAGATCTAAAGTTTGTAGATAAAAAAAAACTATGATGTCTGCGCTCGATAAAAGTAATAAAAATCATATTTCAAAAAGCAATAAAATTCATGTTTCATGTTCAGTAAAAAAAAATCATGTTGTCAAACCAATTTTAATATCCAGTTAAATGCGCACTTTTTAAAGCCACACTAGCTAAAGTGAGATTCAAATGTAAAAAGTATATTTTAAATTTAAACACAATTATTATTAATTTAAATATAATTATATATTATTTCTTAACTCATATTTCCCCCCTAAAAAACCGAACATTTTGTTTGGAAAATTCCTCTGGATTCCTTAAGTTAAAAATAGCAATTAAAAACATTCGGCTGAAAAATGCTGAATACATAAATTTGTGGAGTCCAAGAAAAATGATCTCTGACGTTGTTTATTTGATAATCAATAACAATATTGACAGGGAGATGAATTGGAAAGAGGAGAAAGTGATTTTGTTCAAATACTATGCCTCCAGTACATCCTCTCCGTGATGTCTCCGCCAAGGACAGAAAAAAACAAAAATACATTTACGAAACAAGTTATAATTCTACGAATCGGCAACTTTCATCTTTTGACACCTGACAAGGATTTTGTGGCACTTCATCATTAGTCAAAGGCCGTGTCTTAAATTACAAACGTTATAACATAATCTATAATAAAAATAATGAAAGCTTGAAAAAAGAGACTTAATGAATTAAATTGAAATGAAAATTTTCATTATAAGTTAGACTTTTTATTATTACTAGTGGGCTGCGCCCCCTGCTCGCTAACGCTCGCCAACCATCGAAAATTGCTACGCAATCTTATATGGTTTGCTTCGTTCGCTACTAACTTAGGTCCATTGCAAATGCACAAAATTCTAAGAATTCAAAACAATCATTCAAATCCATATAACAATTTTTTTTAAAAAAAAGATTACATCTTTTTAGTAAATACTAAGGTCATTAAAATAAATTTGAATTCAAATAAATGACATGTAATTCGTTAAACCTATTAGAAATGTGCTATAGTATAAAATCTTAAAGCGTAACAGCACGACTGAGACTCATTTTTCAATGAATAACTAATAACAATAATAAAACAAATAAATTCGTGATATAAATAAAAAATCCCAAATAAATTCGTGAAAAAAAGTGCTTTCGACAAAATATTAAAGTAGAGATCTATCGACAAAGACTACTCACTTCTGCCTAGCTTAATAGTATGAGATTGCCGCAGCTGATAGGGTGAATTTCGGAAGAGATCACATTTGGTGAGAATGCTCACTCTGGTTATTTCAGTTTCCGTTCTCAAAAGCGCTATATGTTGAGCCACCTCAGCTAGATTTGGCATGTGACATTTTTAGCTGCAATCATTGGTCGATTTTCTAGCGTTGCCATTCGGGGAGTTGTAATGAGGCTTTTTTTTATCGCCGTGTTAGAGAAATATATATATATATATCGATTTTTTTCTTTTTAGTTTATATAAACATGTATCTAGGACAAAGATCCTAATTCGTAAAAGATGAACTTTCACTATCAAAAAATGTCAATTTAAAAAAAAGATGAAGGAATTTATTGAAAAGGTACCAAGTAAAAATCATCTTCTATTTTAATTGACTTACTCAGATACAAATAACTCCTAAAATGTCTCCATCATGGAGTTAAAATCTTTATAACTTAGTGAGTCATCGTGGTGCAACTTTCAGATGCAAAACCAGAGCTGTGCAAGAAAAGATCTGCAGTTTTAAACTTGCTCGACTCCGATTAATGCTGGAATAAAATTTTTGCCGAATTCACGGAAAATACTAATACAAAGACTAAATAATTGTTCATTTTAAATGATATTTTATTTTTATGAACTATTGGAGTTAACGGTGCTTTATTGAATATTACATATTATAATGCAACACAATAGTTGAAAAAAATAAATAATAAAAGAATATTTTGTGCAAAAATATTGAAATTGTGCAAAACTCTTCTAAGAAAAGAGCTAGATATTAATATCTCACACGCACATTTCTATAAGTCTAATGACGAAAAGATTCATAAGAGAATATTTTGGCCAAAACTATGACAAATATGATACATAGGCATATCTTTTCATTTCACTTTTCAACTGCGCTATATAAATTTGTTTTTGAAATTGAAATACTTTTTCAATAACTCAATAAGCTCAAAAGCGTTTCAATGTGACAAAATAAATTTGAAGTAAGTTCGAATTTAAATAATTATTTGAGTAATATTTTGTTTACATGTAAAAATATAAATATTTTTCGAAATCAATGAATTCGATTTAGCCCTATAAGACCTAACTTTTAAGCAGCCGGTAATAATAAGAATAAATTTTATCCGATTCGAGAGCAATTTACTTCGACTTACGGAGTCGAAGTAAATTGCGCTCGACTAAATTCAATATATCCAGGCGCACGATTCAGATGAAAATTACCAAGTTGTAATCTGTTTTCCTGTAATATACAGGATGTCACGCTATGACCAGTTTTAATACAGGTTTTTAAAACTTTTGTGAAAAAATGAAGTGAAAAAAAAGTACACACACTGTACATAAAAATTCATATTTGTGCAAGAAAAAAAAATTATTATCTACATAAGTAAAGGAAAAACTTCAAAGCTATATTGCACGGTATACTAAGAAGTGAATTTACTAATGCCTTTCGAATTCGTTCTCTGTTTTCTCGTACGATCAAAACGATCATTTCAGCTCAGCCTTCATAATTAGTAGTAAATTTCGATAGACTTTTAAATATCAATTTGCAATCTTTGATGGGAAATTTTTCAAATTTCACACAAAGCCGGGATAGCCTGGTTGGTAGGGCACAGGGCTCATGTACAAGAGTTCGTGGGTTCGATCCCCATCGGCCGAAGACTCAACGAGTGGTAAATGGTGACTGATGCACGTTAAATCTGTCGAGTCTCAAAGTCCTCTGTGTTCCCATAACAAATAAATACCTCAGGGTGTACTGGTTTGGAGATCGATCATTCTCTAATTCAGGTCAAAATTACGATCTGTGGATGAATGAATGCGTCCGCCCTATAAACGGGTGCAAGGTATGGTGGGGCAGAAGTCGAATTCTTGGCCATAGATGGCGCCACTGGAAAACAAGAACAATCGCACCCCCTCTGCCTAAACAGGCATACGTCAACATCAACAACTAACTGATCCAGGAGTTTCCTTGTCTTCTGGATTGGTTCAAAATTACAAGGCTACGGAGTTGAGCATTAGTAGTCGTAAACCCAAAAGTGGGTCGGCTGTTCAACGACGGGTATAAAAAATTAAAAAAACTTCACTTAGGATAAGGATTTTAAAAATAGGCATGAAGGGTTAGGGAACACCCTGCATAAATGAGTTTATTAATAAAAGTGAATTAAAATAAATGACTTCTTTCTATTACTCTTTTTAGTACTTAACTTTATTTGGATTGAAGAAAATAAATTGACACAAAAAAATTTTTTTGTTTCATTGACTCAGCTGAAATTGCGCACTAACATCTAATTTATTTTGCCATTAAGTGCTTCAAGCGGAAAATTATTATTCTTTTCAACAAAAGAAAAAACAAAATCATAGCGTTAAGTAGTCATCTTCCTCTTTTTAATCTCCATCCATGCTTTTCTTATAACCCCAGAACCATCTGTGCAAGCGTCCTAAAACTTAAGCAGTGGATGAAGGAGGTAAATCAGTTCTCGAGAGACTATTAACTCATTAGTTTAGCATTAGTCATTGAGGAAACTTTAATTAACGCTTTTTTTTCTTCAAATATTTAACAGTGATGTTTTCTTAATTACAGCTCTATCTAATTTTTATTCGTTATTTAAGATGAGATCAGTGACAAACTTTACGGTAATGTCACTGAATCAGTATTTCGAAAGTTATCCGGTATGACGACGTGTTTATTTAGTTTATTGAGTTTAGTTTAGTTTAGTTTATTGAGTTACGCTTTGAAAAATATTCCTACAAAACAAAATAGTTTTAAAACAACGATAATTGAAGCAAAATAAAAAAAAACATAGATTGTGTAGTAAAAAGTAAAATTAATGGAGGAAAGATGATTCGTTTCGGGAAACCATAAAAAAAATGCCAAACTATTATTGACTCCGATGATACTTATTGTTAGTTTTGGTAGTAGGTACTACTGCTATTTTATTTTATTTTACTTTATAACTAGCGTTGAACAGCCGACCCAATTCTCAGTTTACGACTATTAATGATGAACTCGGTAGCCTTGTAATTTGGAATCTAATCGAGAAGACAAAGAAACGCCTAGATCAAGTATTGCGACTCACTAATAGCCTTCGTGGAGGACTTTTTTATCGGGCTACACCGCATTTCCGTTACATGGAGAGGAAAATCACGAAAACCTCCTAAGGTAAGAACCCATGATCAGTCTTCCTCTGAGGATATTTTTACGTCAACACCGTGATGGGAGCAGAATTTATATCAACTAACCACCGCTGGAATTTGAACCGGAGTCACCTCATTGGGATGCAAACGCTCTATCCTCTGAGCCACAGTGGCTCCTACTACATTCAAATCCATNATCCGGTATGACGACGTGTTTATTTAGTTATTTATTTAGTTTATTGAGTTTAGTTTATTTAGTTTAGTTTATTGAGTTACGCTTTGAAAAATATTCCTACAAAACAAAATAGTTTTAAAACAACGATAATTGAAGCAAAAAAAAAACATAGATTGTGTAGTAAAAAGTAAAATTAATGGAGGAAAGATAATTCGTTTCGGGAAACCATAAAAAAAATGCCAAACTATTATTGACTCCGATGATACTTATTGTTAGTTCTGGTAGAAGGTACTACTGCTATTTTATTTTATTTTACTTTATAATGATGAACTCGGTAGCCTTGTTATTTGGAATCCAATTGAGAAGACAAGGAAACGCCTAGATCAAGTATTGCTTGCGACTCTCTTCGTGGAGGACTTTTTTTATGGGGCTACACTGCATTTCCGTTACATGGAGAGGAAAA